AGAATGATTTTATACGCTGTTCTGTGACCAAACTGGCTTTATATGTTATTGAGAATCTTCTGAATGGCAGCGTGCATTTCTGTCCACTTGTAGATTTTGGGACAGGCCAGTGAAGCTCTCAGTGTATCGTAATCAGTTCATCCTTGGAATCAGTTTCGTCTGAATCCTGCCGTCTCCGACCGCGTCACTCTTTTACAGTTACTCCCATTTAATCTCACCTGACTGTGATATAGTTTACCACCTGCTCTTCATGACTGTGTATCCAACACTTCAAGATGCATTTAGATGTAAACAGAGTGGTTCAGAGTGGTTTGGTGTGAAACGCTCTGTTCTAGAGAAACTTACTGTTCACAGTGGTGGTGATAGGAACCAGACGTCCACCTCTAAAAGCTCCTCACAGAAAGTTACTACATGAAATGGTTATGAATTCACTGCCTGATGACTGAGACACTGTTTTATGATAGTTTAGAGAACTTAAACTCCATTCATGGTGGAGGGATACATAATATGTAGGGCGCTGTGAGGCAAAATAGTCCCCAAAAAACTTTTATTTATTTTATTTATTATGTCAGATTTTCCACTATTTTCCATCATCAACATTCCATATAAACTCAGAAGACTCGTGTAGGTTCTCTGGTGGTTCTGGATAGTAAATAAAATGTCTATATTTGTGTTGTAGTCATGGCGACCCCTGGTTCCCATCACCACCACTGTAAAGACATCTGAACCATTTCACACCAAACCACTCTGAATCTCTCTGTTTACACCTCACACACTGAATTATGGGGAATTAAAAAAAAAAAATATGGAACTTTCACTTAAATTGAGAACCGACCTCCTAGAATTTCTACACACTCGCCTTCAAAAATACACGAAAAGAACATGAAAATGAATTATTTTCACTTTAACTAGTGAAACTTAAATAGAAAGGTTTGACTTGCCAAAGCTTCATGAACCTTCACAGAACAAATGTGATAAATATCGGTGAAAATAAACGTTTTGGGATGACGTTTCACGTCTCACTGCTACTCTGCAGATATCTAGTACAACTCAAAAGACGTTAGCACCATGGAGAAGTGAAGGTTGAACGCAGCTGATCGGGTTAGAGCGGTGCACACTACAATCGTTTTCTTTGATAGTTAAACCCGTTTTTCTTTTGTACTTCTCTTTTTTTAAAGCACCATAAGTCAACAGTGAAATTGAATAACTTACAATCTATCAGAAGTGTATCATTAAAGCACCCCCTACATATTCTGTGTACGTTTTCTTGCAAAGTAATTTGGTGCTTAATGTTAATATATTACTATTTTGTTTTAATATTATTATTATTATTTTTGCTTAATAAGTGAACAGTGTCTCTTTAACGTCAGACTCAAACCTCTTCCAAAATACATTTGAACAAAGCAATAGTTTTATTTTTGGGTTCTCTGTAGGATCCAGTGTTGCTGCACAATAAACATGTGCGTCACTCAGTTACGTAGTTTTCATTTCTCCTCAATAGTCTGTTTGGATGGAAGAGTCTTCTTACTGTATCTTTCAGTGATGGTAATGATCAGCGCATCAAGGTATGAACAACCAGCCCACGTAACATATTCAACATCAAAGGAAAACAATCTCTCAGAATTACAAACCACAGTTGCTGCTCCACACGTTATTTGGACGTCATTTCAGGATCACATTGCACGAACTTGTAGTCTCTTTAATATATTAACATTGTGGTGACGGCCACAAGTGTAACATCTCCAGACTCTAAATAAAAACGGTATATCCGTTTACAATGGTTCAAATGGACGAATCCTCTGGACTCAACTGCAACGAACACAGAAATGACCATTAAACCTCTCTCTGAAGGACACAAACCTTTCCGACGTCCAGTATAACTAATCACAGCTGCAGTGGACGCAGGTACAGAGGGTCCGCTTTATCTGGCTAGCGGCTAGCTGGCCTTCACCCTCCCAGCTTGGTAGCACTGTGTGACTGGGCAGGCCGAGCTAACTGGTTCAACTGGACACAAGTAAAGAGAATAAAGAGAGAATCTGAATTTGAAACTATAAAGAGGAAATTCATAAACTTTAAGTTGGCTTGACAGAGTCCGATAACAACGCCTTGGCAGTTAAAGCAGCAGCAGAACCGCTGATAGTGTTGGGCATTGCTTGGTGGTTTTTAGGTGGTTGCTAAGGTGTTGCTAGGCTGTTGCTATGATATCTCAGGTGGTTGTGAAGGTGTTGCTAGGCTGTTGCTAAGCTATCCTAGGCAGTTTCTAAGGTGTTGCGAGGCCACTGCTATCCCAAGTGGTTGCCAAGAAGTTGCTAGGCTGTTGCTATAGTATCCCAAGTGTTGCTAAGGTGTTCCCATGCTGCTGCTATAGTATCCCAGATGGTTGCTAAGGTGTCTCTAGGCCATTGCTACACTATCCTGGGCAGTTTCTAAGGTGTTGCTAGGCTACTGCTGTCCCAAGTGGTTGCCAATGTGTTGCAAGACTGTTGCTATAGTATCCTAGGTGGTTGCTAAGGAGTTCCTATGCTGCTGCTACAGTATCCCAGGTGGTTGCTAAGGTGTTGCTAGGCTACTGCTATAGTATCCCATGTGGTTAATGAGGTGTTATTAGGCCACTGCTACACTGTCCAAGTGGTGGTTGCTAAGTTGTTGCTAGGCCACTGCTATAGTATCCCATGTGGTTAATGAGGTGTTGCTAAGGCTGTTGCTACAATTTCCAAGTTGGCTTCTGAAGTGTTGCTAGGTGATTATATGGTATCCCAGGTGGTTACTAAGGTGTTGCTTGGCCATTGCTATGGTATCCCAGGTGGTTACTAAGGTGTTGCTTGGCCATTGCTATGCTATCCCAGGTGGTTACTAAGGTGTTGCTTGGCTGTTGCTATGCTATCCCAGGTGACTACTAAGGTGTTGCTTGGCTGTTGCTATGCAATCCCAGGTGGCTGCTAATGTGTTGCTAAGCCATTGCCATGCTATCCTACGTGGGTAACTAGGGTGCTGTTAGGCCATGCTTTGTTTACCTAAGGTGTTGCTATGCCATTATTGTGGTATCCCAGGTGGTTGCTAAGGTACTGCTAGGCCATCGTCTGTACGTTACGTTTGAGAGAAATAATTTATAATAACTTGTGGCAGTAAGATTTGAAGTTTCTGAACAAACACTGCTATAGAAAAAAGTCATGTCTGAACCAACAGTGTATTAAAATGTATTAAATCTGTATGTCTGATCAGTTCAAAAATCACAAACACACTATCCGGGTATATCGATCCACTCTGTCAGGCCCACTTAAGAAAAAATTGGCAAGTTTTACAAAATGTGCACATTGGCAAAATATGCCAAACTTTATACAGATAAATATATATTATTTATATGTATATATTAATGTATTTCCATATATACATAATTTACTTTCAGCCAATTAATAAATAAATAGTGCTACAGTAATTCGGCCGTAATTGTAATTGTGCCGGCTACATCTTGCTTGCTAACACATCTTGTAAGAGAAGGAAATAAATCAGAATAATTTCAGAAAAATTATGCCTCTTATTTACGCAGACTTAAAATTAGCATAAATTAAATTACACACCTGTTCTTTCTCTAAGCATGCAGCCGTAACAGAGGGCAAAGGGTGATGATTCGGGGCATTTCCATGTGAATCGGAAACTAGCCGTCTGACCGTGAGGCCAAATGAACGTAAACGAGGGGGAAATTCGTTAGCACCATTAGCGTTTCGCTCTTTTGTTTCTCAGGCTAAAATGTGATGTTGTTGCTTTTGTCGTGTAAATTCAATTCCCACATGTGAGAATATTTACATAAAATTAAAAGTAGTAAAAATTGTAAAAAACACTGCTGAAAAACTGTCTCTCCCATTAAAATTAAATGGGAAAATATTAGACCTGAAACCTCATATACTAAAATATTCCTACTAGTCAAACATGATGTTTGATTTTACCAGTATTAATAACATTTTTGCTTGATTTTCTGATATCATGATGCCATTTAATTTAATTAAATATTAATTAAATGCTTTTATCCAAATGATGAAGGTGTTGCTAATATAGACATAATGTAAAACTAATCTAGTTGAATCTAATGTACTTAATGCACTAAAGAAAATTGACTCATCTGCAGTGCAATTGAGAATCTGGTTACAAATCAGGAGATCTGTATTATTATTATTATTATTATTATTATTATTATTAAAATCTCACACTGATTTCGTTCCATGTTCGTTTCAGTTGAGCTTCAGAGATGAACTATTTACATAGTAAGTGCTCATGTTTGCAAACAATGCAAGCATCCAGTTAGACTGTAAAAGCAGAGGGACTCTCCACACCTCTCAACCCGAAAGGAACAGTTCGAACATGCTAACGCAGCTAACAATGAACAGAAGCTTGTAGCCACCAATTAGCATGATGTTAAATGGTGGGTGTTCACAGCCCTTCACTGACAGCAACGTTAGCCTGTTCGGTTCCTTTAAAAGGGACTTCTGAAGTCTGCCTTTTTTTGGCGATCATCCTCTGACCTGGAGATCATTTATAATCTTTGCAACTGCCGCTCAGAGAAAGAACATCTTAGAACACAGGGGGAGAACCTAATCCAGCCACTGAGAGGAGGAGAAGGGTGGGGGGGACTCTATAAACCCTGAAGTTACAAACCCGTAAATCCACTCTTTGTCATCTAAACATCTAAAACACTCAGCAGCCCCCAGATTTATCATTTCAGATCACAAAGACAAACATGCAGAGACGGTTATGGCGACACAGGGCCAAGTGTCCTCCTGTGGCCCCGGAAACACAAGGAAACGTGGCGTCAGTGTCTGGGTCGACTCTAAATCATCTCTTTTTTCCCCCGTATGCTTTTCATACCACAGTAGAAAGCTGAACCGGACCGAAGTGGGTCATTATTTGTGAGTATGCTGCTCGATTCTTAGGTTACCGTATTACTCTGCGCTAAAGAGTATTAAGTACTCATATTCATCTGGGTCCTGTCCAGTATTGTGCCAAAGTCTTTTACCATGTAAAAGACGTCTTATAGTGTAATCGAGTCTTCAAAATGACTCTTCCTCCTGTTCGGAGAAAGCTCGAAGTTGTTTTAACACTAGCCTTGTGCAAACTCCAGTGCTTTCACTTTGTTTTGTTTGATTCTGTCTGGTCAGCTGTACATTTAAGGCTTCTGGCAGTGCATTTTGAACAAAATTCAGCGAAAGGTGCTGGACTTGTCCTTTCTTTTTTATCTCGATGCTTAACACTTGTGCAAGGACCTGCACAAAATACTGTCATATCACTATTCGCCTTTGCAACAATGATATCTCACAAGGTTGCAATATTCAAATAAACCCACGAGCCAATCACAGTGCGGTTGTGAGCATGCTGACCAATCACAACACAAAAAGATGGGTGTCTTCTGAAGATTCAACTAAATGAGGGCAACTAAATGGCCTCAGAGTTCATCAGAGGACTCTTTATTTCTCCTCACTCTTAAATATAACTTGGCTTGAATTAACAGTTCTAACTAAGGGATTTCCACCAATTCTTCAAAATTTCAGTGTAATTAAGATGTTAAGATGTAAACAGAGTCATTCAGAGCGGTTTGGTGTGAAACGCTCCGTTCTGGAGAGACTTAGAGTCAGAACTGTTCACAGTGGTGGTGATAGGAACCAGAGGTCCACCTCTAAAAGCTCCCTCACAGAAAGTTTAAAATCCATTCATGGTGGAGGGATCTATGCAGGGTGTTTTGAGGAAAAACAGTCCCCAGATTTTCCACTATTTTACCATCATTAACATTCCAGAAGACTCGTGTAGGTTCACTGGTGGTTTTGGACAGTAAGTAAAATGGCAATATTTGTGTTACAGGCTTTAAAAGCCCTGGTTCCCATCACCACCACTGTAAAGAAATCTGAGTTGATACACGTTTCTATGATGCACGAGTTCACATCAAACCACTCTGACTTTATTTACATCAAGGACTGAATTATAGAGAATTTTTCTGAAAAATCAGTGGAGTTCCTCTTCAGCTGCCAGACTGAAGCAAAGCCAAACAGAGGTGGAAGCTTTGGAAGTTTTGTGATGGCTGTATGAATGAGGCTAACGCTAAAGTAGCGCTGCGACACAGCGGAGCAACTGCAGTTCAAACTCCGCCGCAGTGCAGCGACAGCGTTTGACATGCTGGCGTCCGAGTCACACTGGAGGGACACTGAAAAGGCAACGTACACCAACGTCAAGCTCACAGGGCTCAAAGACTCGTGGGGGAAGAAAGCGCTGGTTGTGCTGCTGTTGCTAAGGAGCCTGTGGCGGCGGCGGATTCTCCTCGGCCAGGGCCTCTTTGTCAGAAGAAGTGGGCGGAGCTTCGACGGGAGGGTCTTGCGCTTCTCTGTTCTCGTCTAACGTGGCTGCTGAAGTGGCGCTCTGAGTCACAGGCAGGGAGATTGGCGCCCGCTGTATGACCATAGCCCGAGTGATCTCGGAACCAGGCTGGTTATCACTCTGAAGCAGCAGAATGGGTGGAGCTTCAGGCTCCGGAACATTCTGGCACTTCACCAACACTCCTCTTTGCTCAGAATCCCTCACCTCCTGGCTTACCACAAGGCCCGGCTGCTCCTGGAGCACAATCTCCATCACCTGTGTGGACTGGATGGACGCAGAGGATGAAAAAGCTTTCTGGATGACCCCTCTCGTACCCGGCGCTGGATTTGGGTTAAGGCCTGAAGAGGCTGCCGGCGGCTGCGGGGTCATCTCTTCCGGCCTCGGCTTCCTGGGACGGCCTCGTTTTCGTTTTGGAGGAATACCGCCAGGCCCTGCGACTAGAGGCGGGCAATACAACATGTCAATAACAATGACAATAATGAGTTGTTGGACGCTTTGCAATCAAATGGACACCATGTTATCGCTGTCATTATCACGCTACTCCTTTCTGAGTAGGTCAGTTCTTCTATAACAGAGAATACATGCATGGATCAAAACACAGATTTAGGCCAGTTATGGAGCCTGTAAACAACAACAACAACAACCAGTGTAGCTGCATAAACTGCATAGTAACAAGTATCTGATTGGATGTCAGTCCATTATGATGTCATCTTACTTCATTCATTTCGCTGTTGTCGGATGAAAACCTCTTATCTCCAAAATGGTGACTTTACAGGAGAAGGAAAAACCTACTCTACTTTTAATGTAAGTCAATGGAACCACAATTTTGTGTTGTTTCTTTTAGTCCATTTATCACACAATGTAAAGGACATCAAGGATTTTCAAATTGTCAAAAACTGAAAAACGACAAAAATGGAGATGAGGTTTTCTTTCGACAACAGCGATTTGTTTTTACCGTGTGATTTTCCCTCCTCTTCCATTTGTAGTTTTATTTTGCAAGCACTGAATTAAAAAAAAAAGAAAATCACAGCTCCTTTTCTGTTTTTGTTTTCTTAATTTTTTTTTGTTTTACAAAGAGGAAAAATACATTTTTAAATCGTTTTTAAATTCACTTTCTGCTGTCTCTGACAGTCATCTGGATTTTGAACCAAGAATCAAATAATTGTTTGTTTTTTAATTTCTGTTTCTGAAATGAAAAATTTATATGCTTATTATGACGTGTATCCTGAAAATGTCTTCAAGAACTGTGTTACACTTTTACCACATCTCCCTTTTTACCTGCGACCGCAGCGATGGGATCAGGACCTCGTTTAGGGGGAGCTGCTCGCGCTCTCTGAACCACCGGCGTCGGGGCAGCAGAGGTGGACACGGTGACCGAAGTGCTTTTGTCTTGCTCGGGGTAAGAAAGACTCACCCCTGAGGGCAGGATCACCACAGGCAGCCCCTGCTGGGCCGGGAGCGTCGTCACGGTGATGGGAAGAGTCACCTTCACGCTGCTCGAGTCGTTGGGCGTGAAAGCTGGAGGGGAGGAGTGCACGGAGAGCTGGGATTTGTCTGGAAGAGAACCTCTCGGGAGGATCTGAGGGAACTTCTTCATCTTCATCAGGGCCTCCACCTGCAGGTCGCGGCCCCCAGAGCGGGACGACTCGGACCCTTTGGCTGGTTTCTCACTCAGCTGCTGCTTTCCAGGCGACAACTGATCTGTACCATCTTTGTCTTTCTGTTGGAAGAAAATCCAGTGGAGATATTACACTGAGTGCCTTTACATGCACTCAATCATAATCGGATTTCCGCAGTTATCCGATTATTCAAATGGTCATGTAAACACCATACTCCGATCTAGAAATCCAATTAAGAAATCCGATAAAGGGGCTGGATTTTAGCTCAGTAATCAGATTTCTCAGTGCATGTAAACTCTTATTCTGATTTCTTTCGGATTTCTCAGTCTGCGCGAGATCAGACGGTGGATGTTGCGAGACGCAGCAAAACACTGTTGGAGCGGCGCTGAAACCAAACAGGAAATAAAAGATTTAAATATTCTTCATCTTCTAGATGATGTTTGTTCATATTTTCAGGTAAAGCAGCGCGATGTTTAAAAAAAAAAGCCGCAGCATGAAGTTTTACGTTATGTTTCCGTCGCGTCTTTTTCTGTGAGTTTATTGCTATGGTATCCCAGGTGGTTGCTAAGGTGTTGCTAGGCGGTTGCTATGGTATCCCAGGGTGTTTCTAATATGTGTGCTAGTATGTATGAGAGTCTGTATGTAACAGCTATGAAGGGCCGTGTGAGAGACGTCCTTTGTGACATCACTTGTGGCAGATTTGTTTTTTCCTCAACGCTCCACCATTCATCTGTGCTTGAACAAACATGTGACGGGTATAGACTAAGATTTGTGGTTCTAGCTCAAAAACTGAGACCTGTGAAAACAAAAAACTCAGAATAATATTATAAAGAAGAAAACGAAGAACAGTAAACGGGCTTCATCAACCCAACTTAATCAAAGAAAATTAGAAATAATTCATTTAGGAAATAGAATGGGACAGATGGAAGAGTTAAATAGAACACAACAAAAAATACCTTAGCGTCTTGGCTGCTGCCATCGTCCTCCACTCCACTCCCTCTGGGAGTCGCTGTGATCTTCTTCATCACCTTATGTGGTTTCGAAGGGCCTCCTGTGAGGAAGACATCATACCAGAGGCTTCAGTTACTGCTACTGCGAACAAAACAAACACTAGAAATCTACAGACTGTCTCCACGTACCAGCCAACGCGGCGGAGGTGACCAGCTCAGCTTGGCTGCAGCGCGGGTTAACGATGTGCTCCTGGACGAGGAAGCGAGCGATCTCCACCACCGTGTCGAAGGAGCGCTTGAGAATCTTCTGCGCCCAATCACAGATCAACTCACACGCCGCCTCTGTGACCTCCTGCTTATACGTCTGCACCAGTTCTGTCAGCTCTGACTGCAGGGAAGGGAGTTACGTTCAAAAGCAGCACAAATAAAAGGAGATCAATTACAATATAAGGAAGGAAGTTTTTCTACTGCTATGAGAAAATCTGAAATTTTAATTTACTTCACTTGCACTTTGTGACATTTCTGCTTGAATCGATCTTCTCATGCTGGAGAACTCATTATATATGGTTCTTTGTAGAACCATTTCATATTAATTACTTTACTAATATTACTTACATTACTTAACATTACCTAATTTACTTATGTTACTTAATGACCTGTAATATAATAATAAAAATAATACAATACATTGCAGTCTACTTTGTATAGTAATATAAGGCTACATCCATCCACAGTCAGCCTTTTTGGATGCAAAGGTGCTACTTAAATGTATCTGCACATGTTGATCATTCTGTTGCACTACCACAGCAGCAATCACAGCCAAAAAGATTAAAAACAACACTGTGACATGGGAGAAGAGGATCTTACCGGGTCATTCTTCAGGTCCAAGTTGGGTAATAGGGGCATGTTTAGCACTGTCTTTCTCCGGATTCCACTGTAGCAGTATGTGTGCAGCGTCAAGGAGAAATGCTTAAGAAATACAAACTATTTTCTACTTGGGGCCAATGTTTAGGGCAAAGCAGGCCAAAGTATTTCCAACAATGCTCAGATGTTGGTAATTCACTTGTTCAAATTTGCATAATTCTTCTAATAACATCAAAAATACAAATGGCACACAATGAATAGTGGCATCTTCCTTTTTCATTTCTTTGCTTATCGTATATCGTAACTACATGGAAACAAACAGTCTGAGTAAAGGCCTCAGCAGACTTCTTGCAGACACTATGTTCGCCTGGCTTCAGCGAACAATGTGACGTAATTGCAGAGAAAACATACAACAGCAGACGTCACATGGAGGCTTCGCTCGCCGTGTTGCGCACATGGCAGCTGGGCGAAAAGAGCCTCTGACTGGTCAGTAAAAAAGAGGCGTGCCATGAAACAAAGAAGGACAAATTTGAGGAGCTTCGGCTTCGGCAGACACACCAACATTTCACTGTGAAACGCGCATTTGTTAAATAAACAATGAACATTTCCTAAATGTCCTAAAGTCTGTTATTAGGTAGTACTGACTAGTACTCAGCACCAAAACATACAGGTTATCTTATATGTAGGTTCACAGGAGGACAAGGCTGAAGGTGGCTTTCTATTCACCAGCTTCCTGGTCGAATTTTCCTGCTCCACCTTAAATGGTGGTGGTATTCTGAACTCAAACATCGCCATAGTTAGAACTGTGAAAGAACCGTTTTCCAGCTGTCATGAAACTTATCATAAACTGTCATAGCGTCACGTGGAGCATCTGCGACAAGCAACACGAAACCGCAGAAAGTATACCAGCTTGTAAGCTCACGAAGGCTATTCCGGCTTCGCACAACCCTCGAGAATTTTGTTTCGTAAGAAGTACGCTGAGGCCTTAAGGCCCAATCCCATTTTACCCCTCGCCCCTACTACTTAGCCCTTCCATTGTGTGCCTTCACGTCTAGGGGTAGGGTGACCCGATTCTTGTTGAGACGGAGGGGTGGGGTGAAGTGCTGGGAATACATGACCCTCCAAACGGAGGTTTTTCAGAGACTCCAAACAGAGAGATATGAGGAGAAAAAGAAAAAACAGGCAAGATGGAGAACAAGAGACCAAAGAAACCCACAAATGTGAGAATTTCATCTGTTAAAAAAATTGCGATAATCATCGTATTATATTAGTTTAATGTCATTTCAGTGTATTATGGTCTTTTTCTTCATAACAAGCATAAAAAAAAAATCACTAGTAGTGCTGATGTCTCTGTAGCTTGCTAGCTAAATTTCCAAACAAGAAGCTGGTGAATATCTGACTTCAGCTTCATATCACTGAAGAATTAGGGGTGGGTGATAATAAATAATTGCCCCCCTCTTTGAAGTCATATGATGCCCTAAATGTAACTAAAGCCCAGCAGTGAGGAGCTGAACTTTACCCTCCTCTGCTGTCACTGCAGACTGGCAGGGTCGCCTACAGAGCAGCGCTGGTAGCTGTTAATGAAGTGATGCTCTTTTTATTTGAGGGTCCCATTTCAGAGGGAAGATTTCAACCACTACCCTGTAACTCAGTTCCAAGGGGCAAGGTGACCCTCGAAAAAAGGGTTAGGAGTAAAATTAAGAAATGGGACTGGGGCTTAGGGGGCGACTCCTGGCTATTCAAGGGGTTAAACAGGTGCACAGTCTCTGCGTGGAAATAGGAGCTTCTGAGTAGCTACTTTACCTCTAAGACATGTAAACAATCATCAGATATCAGACATACTGTTCAGTAAAATATTCTAAATCTTATTGGTGTGCATAAAGACAGTGCTTAGGCATCCCTCTGAGTCATGTACGCTGATAATCAGAGGCTGATGAAGGATATTTGGACTGTCCTCTGCCACCCAGCCTCCGCGCCTTGATGTTTGGGAAGATATCTCTGATAATCTTGCCAAAGTTTGCTGCACTCAGAGGCCGCTGCTGCAGGTTTTCACAGTGTTTCCTGGAGGGTTGAAAACAAACAATGAGATTATTAATGAGACTGAACACATTAGTGGCCCCCAGTCCCAGTCCTGGCTAGCCTGTGCTCTATGGCTGCGTTCAGACTGCAGGTAAATCGGATTTGCTTCGCTAATCAGATCCTTTGAGACGACTTCCACTCTGTTATCTGCAAGTGCTCAGATCAGATTTGTGTGTCCAGATATCACCAGTCCTGCATGGGTTGTCGTGGTAACGACGTAGGCGTCAGTAACTACGTAGCTATGCTGGTGGCGCGGATTTCAAACACGGATGCAGGAGAGATGGAGGAGCATCATCTCGCCCTTCGCTCTTCTTGGATCCCAGCACTTCATCACTCTGGATTTGACATTGGTTGGTAGGTTGTCACGTTACGAGTGATATAAAAGACACTGACATCCGATTGGAGCGTCCACAGCGTCCAGACTGAGACACATCTGTAAAAATCTGATCAGAGTCGCATTTGAAACCAGCTTCAAAATCTGATTTCATGCATTTTTTTCCTGTCCAGACTATCAAAAATCAATCTGGACACAATCTGGATATGACAAAGCTCAGATTTGGGCTGGCAGGCTGAACACGGCCCATCACACCTGACCCAGCTAACAAAAGACTTGATAGTCTGTTGAGTTGAATCTACATCTATCACTATACACCGATCAGGCATAACATTCTGGACTGAGAATAGTCCACCAATCAAAAATATCCAGCCAACAGCGTCCTGTGGGCAGCGTTTTGTGACCACTGATGAAGGACTAGAGGATGAGCAACACAAACTGTGCAGCAGCAGATGAGCTATCATCTGTGACTTTACATCTACAAGGTGGACTGACAAGGTAGGAGTGTCTAATAGAGTGGACAGTGAGTGGTAGGGGAGCGGGAAAAAAATGATTCTTAGATGCATCGCGATGCGGACGTGAAAGATTCTGAATCAATTCACAAATGTCAAAAATCGATTTTCTAAATATTTAATTTATAACGTAATGTTGACGGAGCGCAAAAGGCGGAACTGGAAGTGGGTGAGTGCAGCGCCCGGACAGTCTGTGGCGGCACATAACAAAAACACAAGTGGAAGAGCGAGAAATCCGACCGGCTCCCTCTGCATTAAAGCCAGGTTAGGTCAGGAGTCACAACACAAATGATAAGAAGAGCCATTTTGTCCTTTCAACAAAAATCAAACCACCTTGGGAGCCACAACATTTAATGTCCAGTATGTCTCAGTGTGTGTTAATGTCCTAGTTTAGGCTAAACAATATAAACAAGAGCGCAGATTTACTTCGCTCTGCTTTAAGCTTCAGCTACAGCCGCTTTCCTCCCATCTCCACCAGAAAACTTATTCAAAACTAGAAGAGTTTCTTGTAAAATGTCTCAGCATCCGGCTGTTTTACGAGGCTGAAGTCGCTTCTCGTTCTAATTTTCGCAACTTTTTAGAGAAAGACAGTCTCTCGTTGTAGATTTAACCAACCGCGCTGCTTATAAATGCGAATAAGTCCTCCAAATGTTCGTCTTAATCTGTTTTTTCGTTCACTACTGGCGAGGCCAGACTTCGGGGCTATGTGACCAGCTGTCTGCTGTCTGTTCTCGGTCGTTGAGAACCAGGGCTTTCGCGCTATGCTGCACACTTTGGAGCCGAGATTCAGCGTCCAGTCTCGAAAATACCCCCCTGCTCTCTACAACGAGACCAAAACCGAAGTTATAAGATCACTAAAGAAAATGGGAAGGACGGCTGTAACACGCTGTGTGGACACCATCACCACTGGATCTTATTTCAGGGTAACAGCGCATTTTATCGCAGATGAGTGGCAGCAGCGTCTCTGAATGAGAGCCTTCTAGTTCACTTGCCACATCACCTCCATTTGATTTATTAATAAGAGATATTGGAAGTAAATTCATTACTGATAATTACAAATACTTTGCTTTAAAACTACCAAGTCCTCACACAGTAGGAAGATAGAAATCCTGTATAGAGAAAAAAGATGCATCGAGATGCATCGATAATCGTTTTATAATCGCATCGCAGCCTCTGAATCGTGATCGAATCGAATCCTGAGGTGCCTAAAGATTCCCACCCCTAGTGAGTGGACACAGTGTTTAAAAACTCCAGCAGCACTGCTGTGTCTGATCCACTCGTACCAGCACAACACACACTAACACACCACCACCACGTCAGTGTTACTGCGGTGCTGAGAATGATCCACCACCCAAATAGTACCTGCTCTGTGAGGGTCCATGGGGGTCCTGACCACTGAAGAACAGGGTAAAAGGGGGCTAACAAAGTATCAGAGAAACAGATGGACTACAGTCTGTAACTGTAGAACTACAAAGTGCACCTATACAGTAAGTGGAGCTGATAAAATGGACAATGAGCATAGAAACAAGGAGGTGGTCAGAATGTTATGGCTGATTGGTGTAGATTATTTTAGTATCTGAGAAATAATAGATTACCTGATTACTCAGCAGAAGTAATCTATAGATTACACAGTTTTTTCTAAATGTCAAAACAATAAAAATGGACTTAAATGAACAACAAACCACGCTGAGCACCAACACTCCAGAAACACCGTACAGGAAACAGACAATGAAGCCTTAAAACAGACTTCATTAAAGAGCAGAAATCCACAGGGACTGCTAAGCTTATGATGTTGCTGCTCGGTTTCTTTGGTATTTTGATCGGTTGCTAAGTGGTTGCTATGGTACTGTATGTGGTTGCCAGGGTGTTGGCAGGTAGTTTCTACAGTATCCCAATGTGGTTTCTAGGGTGTTGCTAGGCAGTTGCTTTAGTATCTCAGGTGGTTGCGAGGGTGTTGCTAAGAAGTTGCAGTGACTTTCCAGGTAGTTGTAATGGTGTTCCTATGCAGTTGCTATGGTATTCTTAGTGGTTGCTAGGGTATTGCTAGGTGGTTGCTATGGTATTTTAAGTGGCTTCTATGGTGTTGACGGGTCGTTACTATGATACCTCTGGTGGTTGCTATTGTGTTGTTATGTGGTTGCTATGGTCTTGGAGGTGGCTGCTAGGGTGCTGTTGAGTGGTTACTGTGTTATCTTCCATTATTACTAGGGTCTTGCTAAGGTTGCTAGGGTGTTGCTAGGGTATAACTAGATGGTTGCTATGGCATTCCAAGTTGTTGCTATAGTGTTGCTATGCGGTTGCTAGGGTATTGCTACTGTAGTTACTGTGTTATCTTTTATGGTTGCTAGAGAGCTGCTAGGTGGTAAGTACAGTATCTCAGTTGGTGGCTAGGTGGTTGATATGTACCAGATAGTTGCTAGGGAATTGGCTAGGCAGCTGATCTGGTATCTCAGGTTGTTGCTAGAATGTTGCCTGAGGTGGCAGCTAGAGTCCTGCTAGTACTGCTAGGTGGTTGCTATGGTATCTCTGATGATCGCAAGGGTGTTGCTATGTGGGTGCTTTGGTATTGGAGCTGACTGCTGTGGTGTTGTTGTTAGATAGTTACTGTGTAATCTCTGGTTGCTAGGTGGTAGGTATGTGGTTTGTTGCGGTTGCTAGTTGGTTGCTAGGGTATCCCTGTGGTGTTGCTATGGAATCTCTGGTGGTTGCTAGAGAGTTGCTATGCAGCTGTTTTAGTATTAGAGGTAATTGCTAGGGTGCTGTTAGGTGGTTACTGTGTCATGTCTCATGGTTGCCAGGGGGTTGCTAGATGGTTGCTAAGGTGTCACAAGTAGTTGCTAGGTGGTTAATATGGTGTTCCAGATGGTTGCTAGGGTGTTGCTAGTCGGTTGCTATGGTATTCCAGGTAGCTGTATTGGTGTTGCTATGTGGTTGCTATAGTGTTGCAGATGGTTGCTAAAGCATTACTAGGTGATTATTATGGTATCTTTTTTGGTTGCTAGATTGTTGCTAAGTGGTTCTGGAAGTCACTGCTATGCAGTTGCTATGGTATTCGGGGTGGTTTCTGGTTTGTTGCTAGGCAGTTACTATGGTACCTCTGGTAGTTGCTAAGGAGTTGCTTTGTAGTTGCTATGGTATTGGAGACGATTACTAGTAGCTGTGGTATCTCAGGCAGTTGCTAGGTGGCGGCTATGGTATTTCAGGTGGCTGTTAGCATACTGCAACATGATTGTTATGGTATTGTTAGATGGTTGCTATTATATTTTAGGTAGATTTTAAGACATTGCTGGGCGGTTGCTATGGTTTCTCTGGTCATCATTAGGGCACTGCTATGTAGTTGCTATGGTATTGGAGGTGATTGCTAGGAGCTTGCTAGGGTATTTCTAGTTGGTTACTAGGGTGTTGCTAGGTGGTTGCTCTGGTGTTCCAGTTAATTGCTGTGGTGTTGCTATGGTACTCCAGGTGGTTGCTAAAGTTTTGCTATGTAGTTCCTCTGGTGTTTTAGGTGGTTTCTAGGGTGTTGCTATGTGGTTGCCATGGTATTTTAGGTGGCTTCTAAGGTGTTGCTAGGTGGTTGCTATGGTACTGGAGATGATTGCTACGGCTTCACAATCAATAACCCAAATATGTTTACGGAGATACATATCTTACCGATAGGTCTCGTAAACATCTTGCTTGGGTAGGCAGGTGTCGGCGTGTTCCTCAAGGTGACTTCGAATCCAGTTGCAGGTGTGTAGTTGGTCAGCCGTGTTGACCAAATTGGAGTCACCGCTACAAGAAAAAAATAAAGGTACTTAGGTACTTATTAGGGCTCAAGCCACAAACAACTGTAGTTAAAACCACAAAATATTTCATTCAGCAAAGGCCTTTAGATATAACAGTTATGTTCATATATGGAAAAATTAGGTAAATTACAGCTGGTTTAGATAAATCCATCATTAATACAAACCAGCCGTCCCCTTCACCTCGCCTCGGTGCAACAAACTGCACCACTGTCCACACAGCTGAAGCTAAAAGAGCCTAAAAGATGCCTAAGAAATCACGTTTGGTAGCACTTTAAATTACCAGATGGTAAGAGAAACCAGACACGTGCATTTCCTGAAGGAAACACGGAATGGTTGCGCAGCGGTTACTATGATTTCCCAGGTGACCTGAAGCGTTGCTAGACAGTTGCTCTGGAATCCAATGCCGTTGCTGAATTATTGCTAGGCAGTTGCCATGGTGTATGGGGTCTAAATTTAGTTTTTCGTAGGGAGTTACCAAGTGTTAGCTTTGTGTTGTTTAAAATAAATGGGAGTCTATGGGAGAAACAAGGGATGAAAAAACGACGGAAAGAGGAGTGCGGGTCAGTATGGCTGTGGATTAGAACTTGAGGACCTGCCCTGAGTGAGGACATGCATTTTGGTGGGTGCTGGGCAAAGAAGTAAGAGTTTTTATTGTGGCAAAAGAGCTTGGGGGCCTGCCCTGAGTGAGTACTTGCATTTTGGTGGGTGTTGGGCAAAAGAAATAATGGGCTTTGTGTAAGGGCGAAAATGAATGAGACTCAATGGGAAGAACGAGGGATAGAAAAAAAACGAGAAAAGGATGAGTGCGGGTCAGAACAACAGTGAATTCGTGCTTGGGGGCCTGCCCTAAGACACGGTGCCAATCAGAAGTACCGTGGACTGTCATGCAATTTTTCACCCCATTCATTCCTATGGGAAAAAATGCCACGAAATTCCACTGCTACACGGAATCCGTGCATCCGATCTAAAAGCTGTATATAAGCACGCATCACACAGTCAGACTGGACAATCTGGAACAGTGTTGATATGTCGGAAATAAGTGGGCACGACAGGTTTGATGGAAAAGTACGGGAGAGACTTATCAGAGTACAACTCTGGCTACATGACCGAGTCTCTGACAGCTGTTTGGTGGTTCTGGTGTGGTCAGTGCTAAAACCAGGGAGCGCAGAGCCTCAAACCTGTTTGTGGTTGTGGTGACCTCTGGCTGCGGTGGAGGAATGAAACACTGGGGCTTCTGCCGTCGTGGCCGCTCCCAAACAGAGGCTGTGTTTTTCCTTCTCCTCTGTACCGACTGCAGTGAGGGCGGCGCTAAAACCAGGGAGCTCAGAGCCTTAAACCTGTTTGTGGTTGTGGTGACTTCTGGCTGCGCGTATGGAGGCGAACACCGGCGCTGCTGGCACCGCGGGCGCTCCGAGGCAGAGGAGTCCGGCGCGGGGGTGAGGTTCACTTCAGCCACTCTAGCCAGCAATCTTTTGCGCCATGAACCAGGAGCTGCGTTCCGCGTGGTGGACGTGATCGCGGTTTCAGAGGTCACGTCTCCTGCACCCGACGAGTGGGGCACCTGCTGAGCCGCTTCCAAGCTGGTCCTCTTGGCGTTCAGACGGTTCTGTAGCTGCGAAAGCTCCTCCATGCTCTGCTTCACTCTCTGTAGCTCTGCTATGACTGAACTCAGCTCAGCCTGCATGTCGCCGCTACCGCTGCTGCTGTCCATGACGTAAAACGACGAACTAGCCAAATAAAATACTTCAATAGAGTAAATAGAAAATAAACTGTAATAAATAAAATAAATAACAGTAATAAATAAAATACTAATTCAAATTCGTTAAACCCTTAATGTCTAGATATGTGACTCAAGGGATGCAAGTCACTCATAAAAGCTACATTTGTTGAACGAGAGGGCTACGATTGCGAATTCTATCGTGGAAACGTAAGGTCCACGAGCAGCCTATTACACCATTGCTGCCACCTACTGGATCAATTCTGATCTGCAGCAACTTAAAATTATGGTTAAATATGATTCATGAATATTCCTGGTTTTAAGGCTGATCTTGTAAACTCAATTTTTTGTGTATTTGTAATTACTGATATTCTCCCTAAATTTAAGCTGATGGTGATCGGATCATCATCCAATGAAGAAACAGTACATTTATATAGTTCCCCTTTTCGAAAGCAGCTCCTGCATCCAGATACTGACCGGCTCTCATTTCAATGTTTACATGTTCAAAAGTAAGAGTGGGCGTGGCCTCTACAGGCTGTGCTGTGTTTTAGTGATTTATAAAACACTGCAGCACGTTCTTAACTACAGAAAAAGACGGCGCGTTATGCACGTATTGATTAGCAGCCACAACTGAAGCAAAGTTTCTGATCAAGTAAATCTAGTAAGTATAACAGTTATTTCAGATATTTTTCTAAGCATACGATATTCAACGCATCTCTACATGTGCACACGGTAGCTGAGCAACGTCACTTCGTCTCAAACCGTAAATGTCAACGTGCACCAACGGTCGGGGGACTAAACTGGCCTAGCACTTTTACAGGCTTGCTCAAACTAGACCTTCACCTTTATGACCTCAGAAGCACTTCCTTTAAGGTGTGCCGGACTGTATGGTTCACTCTGCTCACCAATAACGGAAATTGGAGGTGAGCCAATATGGCAGAATGTAATATCACGATACTTTCGGAAGTTTTTTTTAACGATACGATACAAAATGTCACAGTCAATTTTTTTTTGACATCTAATAACTTAGAAAAGACACATTCAAAATACTATCAAAAACTATGAAAACTATGAAATTTCACACACTTTGCTGCCAAAGTTTTATTACACACTTCCATAACCAAAGAAAAGCCCCATTAGTTTGAATTGAAGTCCCTGTGGCAACTGAATAATAAGCCTTAGTATGTAATAAACCTGGAATGTTTAGGGTTAAGCAGGACTAATTATACTCTCTTAATTTATTCATCACGATAACAATAAATATTGCCAATATTGTCCAGCACAAACGGTAATTATATACTTTTTGAGACTGCCCTGGATCGCTGGGTTGAGCTCAAGATGTTAACAAAGAAAGAGAGAGAGAAGGAGAGAGAAGGAGAGACAGGGAGAAACAGAAAGAGAGAGAGAGAGAGAGAGAGAGAGAGAGCGCCGTTTCTCCCGTCAACAAACAGAAGCAGCTCTAAAGCCGGCGAGGCTGAGACCGAAGCTGATCCCTACCTGCGTTTTAAAGCACTATTACGCACGTTTCTCAGTGTGAAATGGGGATCCAGGCTCTCCAGTCTCCCACAACGCACTCGCAATTTCCAGTGAACACCACAGCTCACCACATCAGCTAAATATATACCGAAGTGCATTGCGAGCCCCTTGTTACCAGGCAACAGAGGAGAGGTGGTAGTGATTCACGACTCGCGATGCTCTGGAGTCGATTCTCCACGAATCGACTCTTCGGGTAGTGATTCATCAACACAGCGCCGGAGCGACACACAAGATTAACACATTTTAACATAGTTCTGCCACTTCTTAGGACCCATGTGTCGAACACAAGGTCCTTGGGCCAAATTAGGCCCGTGGCACAGTTCCATTCGGCCCGCAAAATTATTTTAAATTCCTATTAATATTAGCCCATTTCACCATAAACTGCACTACAGTTTCCAGCATGCACTGCAGCGTAATGTGGGCCACCCCCTCCCCAACAACGATCTGTGGGACATATAAAGAGGTTTAACAGTGATGTGTAGTTTATGTTTTCTACTGTTTTATATACAACATTTGTTTTTATTTAAGATTATTTTTGAATCGTTCAAATATTCAGTGCCGATTTCTTGCTGTTGTAGTTTTGGCATATTTTGAGTCAACAGTGGCCAGTTAGGGTCATGGAACAATGTTGAGTAAAATAAAATAAAAGCACAGCTGGCCCACAGATCTGTTGAGATTTTTTAATACGGCCCTTTTAGTGGTTGAGTTTGTCTTAGGAGCTCAATTTATTCAATCAAAATTTACGACTTCAAAGTAACACAGAGTGAGCCTCATTTACAATACAGCCGAGCAAATTACACGGGGAGTGAAAAACTGCAATGACATTTATCAACTAAAACAAATGAAAATCAGCAAGACAAAAAGATTTATTTAACAATAAATAAAAAAATAAATAATTAAAGAAAGAACAGCTCAAATAGGAAACAGGCATAAAATATCAATAAAATATATCAGGAAAACAGTAAGAAAACCTAAATTTGAGAAAAATCGAATAATTTACTAGAATAAAACAGTAAAAGAATTAACATCAAATAAAATAGTTACAATAAAACAGTGAGATAAAATAAAAAAAAAATAATAATAATAATAAAAATAATAAGTGTGATATGGTCTAAAGAATCTACAAGCAAACTCATGCCTTTGAATCAGTGCTTATTTGCACAAATGCACGAATGTCCATCCTGTAACGTGCTGTGAATGACAGATTTTTATTCTTCATATTCATCTCTTCGGCTGATTCCACACTGGACCTTTTATACCTTCTCTCTTATTCTTGAGTCTGTTTATTCTATTATTTCTGTTTGTTTTTCAGGTGGTTGCTGTCTTCTTTTCTTTGTGATGTTTGTTTACAGTCTGTGTGCTTCTATGGCCTCTTTAGTATGTTACATATGTACACACACACACACACACACACACACACACACACACACACAAAAAGGTACACGACTAAATATCTGATCCATGTTTAATACGTAAAACATACAGCCGACTTCATGATGAAACTCGCAGAGCAGCAAAGCAGAAGGAGGAAGTTCCAACGTTCCTCTGTGGGTTCCTTAGTAACAAGCGGCTCACAATGCACGTCTCTCGTTGCTTAGCAATGTTAACTGTGGCCGCTGATGCTTTAAAGGGCCCATATTCTACATATTCCATATTCTAAGTCCACTTATCATATTTGGTGTTATGTACCAAACATGACCAGAGGTCATTTTCCAGCCTCTCTTTAGAATTCA